ATTTATAATATTTTACTCTTTCTTTTCCTATCTTTTATTTCCTTTTACATTTTATTTAAATAATAGATAAAAGAATATGAGATGGACTAGTACATTCATTTTCTAATTAGAAAATATAGAACTTGATCGAATAAAATAATAAACATAAGAAATCGAATCAAACCGAACTAAATCGAACCTAATAATTTTCACTTTGGTAAATCGAACTTCAAACCAAACTGAAACTATTCCGGAACACAAATGGTTTTAGTTTGGTACCAATTCTCTCAAACCGAATAAACCGAAATCGAACCGAAAAGGAAGAAAACTGGACCTTAAACTGAATTGTCCACCCTTAGTAGAGTCCACCCTACGGTGATAACATGAACAAAGTAAGATGAAGTTGATTTTATGCCTAGAATTCCAGCTGGCACGTATGATTTTTTGACCATAAATTTGAATAATATTTTGAATTGAAATATTTATGTATAGTTATGATGCTGATTTGATTTAATTATTGCGGAGTAAAAGTTAAAATTCCAAAATGCAACAATACAAATACTATACAAATACTTCTAGTACCGTTTATACATTTCACCAAAAATCCATTAATTACTATGAACTCTAAGCTATCTACTACGTATGAACAAACCGAACTTGAGATGTAACTCAAGTGAAAAAGATTAGCTATGAACTATGAGCTATATAAACAAATGTCCATACGGTACATATATTATTTTCACACAGATGTATATGTGTGTTTTTATGTATGTTTTTATTTTATGTATATGTGTGTGTAAATATATTGGGTCTTTAGAAGGACAATGAGGAGATGGGTTTGAATCTGAGTTTCTTACGGGTGATCATCATCAATTTACGAAAAAAATATTAAAAGAAGTCAATGCCATCCTAATATTAACGGCATATACATGTTTAATGGTTCACCGTTAACTGAAGGGGCTAATTGCTCTCTTTTTAGATATCTTAAAGGTTTTTGCACACAAAAATAGTTCAAGGGCATATGTGCCCTTTGCCAACAACTTCAGGGGCTTTTTGCCCCTTTTCCCATTAAAGAATGACAGCTCTATATATTTTTACATTTCAAAACTGGCTATTCTGACTAATTGTATATTGAGTTCATTAGTATTGTTATTAATTAGTATCCACATTAGTTGTTACATTTATTTACATCTTAAGAGTCCGTTTGGAAATCCTATTTTTTGGCTTATCAATATTATTAGTCAATTTCTTTATTTGACAGTGCTCGATGTTGTATATACGATCAACAGAATATGTTGACACCTCCATCTTGCCATAACATGTGGTCAATTAATTATTAACCTACACGTATGAATTATATGACACACATGTATTCTGTATACTCCGTACAACTTTCAAATTAGTTTTGTTTCTTTCCAAAAATAGTGTATGAAATATATATAAGGTGTGTTAATTATTACAGGAATGATGCACACAGAATATTTACTGTCTAAAAAATGGTCTAAGCTTGCCATATTTTCATTCTTTCAATGATGCACTTACTCCTTGGGCGGGTGAGATTTCATTTTTCATTTCACATTGATATCCCATTATTATGCACTTTATTTGGGCGGGAGTTTTATACCAAGTTTATATATACTACTATACCTCCGTCCATTAAAACTTTGCCAAGTTTGACCGGCACATGGATTAGTAAAGTAAAAACTGTGTGATTGAGGTTTGTGTACATGAGAGAGAATTAACTGGAACCACAAATTCTTTACTTAAAAGGGAAAGTGTCAAAGTTAATGAGACATCGAAAATAGAAAAGTTAACAAAGTTTTAAGGGACAGAGAGAGAGAGAGAGAGTATGTATATATGTAAGGTCGGGTGGAGGTTGAGTGGAGGTAGCTGCCCCCACACCCCCATAATATATCCGCCCCCCGATTAGTGACTGCAGCCGCCGCCCCGTCCAACGATTGTCACTGCCCCGATTAGTGACTCCAGCAGCCGCCCCGTCCAACGATTGTCACTGCCCCAATTAGTGACTGCAGCCGCCGCCCCGTCCAACGATTGTCGCTGCCCCGATCAGTGACCACCACCACCCCGACCGGTGATTGTCGCCGCCCCCGACAAGTGACTACTTCCGCCCTCCAGCTAGTAATTGTCGCCCCCGACAGGTGACTATCGTCGCCACCCCCAGTCACTGCCAACCCCACCAACCCAGTCGTACCCCATCCCAACACCCCATCCCCCTTGTCAACATCGGTGACACCGCCACAGTGACACTCCGACACATTGGCACTTCCATGGTCGTCCAACCGCCACCCAACCCCCATTCTCATCACCTTTTCCCTGTCGGTCCACAACTGCTTCCCCATCCCGCACTCAACCTCACACAACCGTTAACATCCGCTAGGTAAACCCTCACCGGTAACTGTCACCGTCGTAACAGTAAGCCTACTAGACCCCAATCCCGTCATATCCCGCCCCCAGCTCTGCACAATTGACAGTCTGGTGCCCAACACTCGTCTCCGCCCCCTGTCACTAAACCACCTTCATGCCCCCTTTGCTTAGGCGAAACCAAGCCACACCACAGATGCGTAAAACCCTAGGTTTGGAATCGCCGCCGACGACTAGATCTGAAAACCAAGCATCTAAACCCTATCCCCCAAGAAGTTCACCATAGATCTGAAAATGAGGACGAATTCGACAATCTCGTTCTACCATGCTCGTCCATCTGGTCACCACTTCATTGATCGAACATAGATTAAATAAGAAAAAGAAAAAGTGCGATCGACATCGACGTGGGATGTCGACAGAGGCGGCGATGTAGTGTTGGTGGAGGAAGCAACATGCGATGACGGCCAAGCCAGCAAACTAAAGGTGGAGCCGGCGACCTGGAGGCGATGGCTGTGCGATGGCCGACTTTGTGAGGTGGTGAGAGGGGAGCCTGATGGGCGACTGAGAGACGAGGGAGAGAGGGTTAGACATGTCACTTTTTTGTCAGAGTTTAGACTAGTCATGTTTTTGTGTATTCAAACCTTATTGATGTGTTTCACCAGATTGATTAGATTATATTATGTTTGCCATTTTTTCTAGTTTAATTAATGTTTCACCAAATTGGTATGTAAAAAACATTGACAATACTAGAATGAAAATAAAAACGGTATTAATGAACTCTATTAAGTTTTTGGTCATTCTTGGTGTACACAAAATATGTATACACATTGTACATTCAATGTGTATACAAGCATTTTGACATAATATCTCGCGCTTTTTGGCAACTAGAGGTTTAGTGTACATATTGTGTTAATGAGTGTTTGGTAACACTTAGGGTCTGTTTGCAACAGCTTCTGCTTTTAAAAAAGTGCTTTTTTTAATGAAATGGGGAGAAGTGATTAAATAAAAGTTGATTGTGTTTGAGAAAAAAGTGATTTTGAAAAGTAAAAGTGGGTAGTGTTTGGTAAAATAAGTGCTTTTTGTGTAATAGAAAAAGTAAAAGCACTTTTGACGCGGAAGCCGAGAAAAATAAAAGTTGTAGTGTTTGGGAAAATAAGTGCTTTTTTAAAGCCAAAAGCTGAGAAGTGCTTTTTTAAAAGTGGTTGCAAACCAACCCTTAAAATAAGTACTTTTCAGCTTTTAACTTAAAAAACTGGAAAAAATGTTTGTTAATGCCTACTTTTAATTTTTTTGACTGAAATCGGCTTAGATAAATAACCAATAATAGATCAGAGTATGGGTCAACTGACAAAAAGAAAATTGATAACCGTCATCCCTCGAACCAGACTCGGAATTAATCGCCGTAGCAATATAATTCGCTGATACATAACCGGGAAACAAAAAGCCTAACACGGTTACCAAATTCCTCTCATTCCCCACATCCAACATCAACGTCTTACAAACTGGAACAAAAACAAAAACAAAGAAACACACACCAAAGCAAAAGTAACAATTGTTGGAAAAGTAAACAAAACAAACTAAATAACACCCCTGCCGCCACCAGAGATCAACCCTTGGCGGTGGTTCTGGAGGGGGGCGTACCATCGGTACCACACCAATTGATTCTCCATTGACGATCAAAATCTGGAATACTCGAAGCCCGTTCATTCCTCCGCGTCCCCCTCTTATAGCAAGACCGCGGTTAATTTTTTTCTTCTCCGTTGCCCAGCCGTGTACAACTTTCATCTGCCTTCCCACTTCGCCGTGTAAAATCCGTCTGCAAAGTTGCCTCCCTGCGAAATAACCCTCGCTCGACCCAAAAGACGAAGCGAAACAGTCAAGCAAAAGAATTGACCCGCCGCTGCAGTTTTCGAAGTCCTCCGAGACACCAGCACCCACCGCCGATCCCGTTCCAACCTAAAGCAATGGCTGAGACGAAAATCGGGACAACAAAAGCTACACTAGGCGGCGGCGATAAAGCCGAAACCTAGAGAGAAATTCGAACCCTCCGTAAAACGGGATAATAATACCTACTTTTACTTTAAAAAGCACTTTAAAGCTAAAAGTTAAAAACAAGTAGAGAAGTGTTTCAAACTGCTTTTCATTTTTTTATTAGACAAAATCATTTATTTTATCAAACATGACCCAATTTTTTATAAGCATTTTTTTCTCAAACACCATCATAGACTTAGGGAGTGTTTGCAACATCTTCTGCTTAAAAAAAGCACTTTTGTGTGATTTGGAAAAAGTGATTAGTTGTAAAAGTTGATAGTGTTTGAGAAAAAAAGTGATTTTGAAAAGTAAAAGTTGGTAGTGTTTGGTAAAATAAGTGTTTTTGGTGTATAAAAAGAGGAAAAACACTTTTGACACGAAAACCGAGAAAAGTAAAAAATTGATTGTATTGAGTAAATAAGTGCTTTTGAAAGGCCAAAATTGGTTTTTTTAAATCTGTTGCAAACCGGCCCTTAAACTTGGGGTGCCCATAGCATTTTGGGTACACTTATTTCCTCATAGGTGCCCATAGGTGCGGATCGCCTGAGAGCACCTTAAACCAGATTCACATTCTCTTTTACATTATTTCCTGTTGACTCATTTGACAGTAGCCTGTCGCTTTTGCTGAAAGAACTCAAAGAAGCAAAACGAGTCCTGCAACCACCAACCTCCTCTCTCCCTCAAATCAGTAATACCCTATTTTACCGATCAAAATGCTCGCATTCTGTTTTTGCTCACAGTGATGAGAACGTGTTAGCAGCAAGATTCCGGGTTGATCCGAAATACTTCGAATTATCTCCGGAAAGCGCAAGGAGATTACAAAATCCACGTCCTTTTAGCATAGTAGGCTAGTATACTATTTTAAAGTGAATTTGGAGGGGATGTTGTCGAATCATATGCAGAACGGGATGCAGACGGCGAAGGTGATGTGGTCGAAGCTTCCGACGGGGGATGAAGACGACGGTGACGTGGCGGGTCCCTCCAAGAACATGTATGATAGCTCTGTGGAGAGTCTCGATTACGAAGTCGTTGAAAATTATGCTTATCGGGAACAACAGGCAAGGATTGTACTGGCTTAATCCTGATCGATTTTTTTTTTGGAGATTTTTGTGTAATTATTTGGCTCATTGTAGTTTTTATTATTATTTCTGGACAGGCCAAGAAGGGGAAGTTTTATGTAGGATATTCAGTTGTGGTGAAGTGGTTGTTTGCTTTACTCACAGGCATAGGTGAGTGAAGAGCCTTTTACTTCGTCTTAACATTTTAATTTCTTTTCGTGAGGAATCTTTTGTACATGTCCTGTCAGTCCTGATAATTTAACTTTTTAAGGTGCAGTTTTTTGGTTGCGTTTTGATTTTTGTCTCAGCATTAAGTGGTGACTTATTTTCTTTCATTGATTTCATTTGTTGCAAATGTCAGCTGATTCAGCTCCGTTATTAGTTTCTCTTGCTTGCTCTTATGAAGATTAAAGAACTGAAACGTGGTGTGGGTAAATTGTATCTTGCTTCTAACTTGGGGAGAATCTAGGGATTCATGTTGGTCTAAGTTTAGATGTTAAAATGTAATATAATTCTGGGTTATGCTATATGTATTCAAACTTGTATGCACCAGCTTGCAGTGTCTCACACACAAAAAAACAAATTAATTTGCTCTCACAAACAAGACATGCCAAACAAACTTTGTGTGTGTATGCTGGTATACAAATTACTAAGAGCAAGGTCTCTAAATATAAATTGTAATGCACTCAGCAAGTTTTCCATTTCTTTTTGCAGAATGCGGTTCTTCCATCTTCCATTATAATATGAAAAATAAAACAACAAAAATACAATTCCATACTCAAACAATTAACATATTACATCCAAAATTGGAGGGTGGAAACACAAACAACTCGAATACAAACTACAGAGTAATAGAGATGTAAAGCAGGCCGAAAGTAGCAAATAAAAAGCAAAAGACTGGCACACTGCAAAAACAACTAACTAATAATCACCATAATTAGAACTGTAATATTTAGGATTTTAGATACTTGAAATGCTGATGCCAATAAAAATTAAGTGAATCAAGTGAATATGAAAGTTAATAAAAAGCCATACCTGTTGAATTATAAATTGGTAGCAGCGGATTTGGAGATTCCATTTGTATTCCAAACCTGAAAATTTGAAGCAGGTCTGCTATTGAGAAACCGTCTGGTGTGCCCTATGCACTGTGCTCATTTCACATGTCTCTACCACTCCATTAGGCTTCTGTAGTCAGTACTCTGTATGTGCATAGTCGCACACAGAGTTGGATAGAATAATTAGAATTTCAATTAGAGGAGCTTTAAGGTTATATTGGAGTAGTTTTAGGATTTTAGACACAAAATAATTCGGTGATACGGTTAGTACAGAGTAAGGTGATAGAGGTTGGACAGGACAGAAGGAAATTTTGGGGATGGCTAAATGAAACTATGATATTTTCCTTAAAGAGTATTAGGTTGCTCTGGGATTCAGCCCACCATGGTCGAGATTTTTCGTCTGCCCTGCCGATCTAACTCCTTACGATTTTGAAGTGTGATGTGATATTATGTACTTCGCTGCATATCTAAATATCATTAGTTTTCATGTTTGCTGTTGCTTTCTCGATTGTTCAAAATTCAAATCACGCATAAATGTTTTACGCTAGTCAATGCGGGGAAATTGCTTCTTTAGGAACTTTTATGATGTTTGGCTGGGTTATACTACAACAACAACAACAACAACATCCAAGCCTTAATCCCAAAAGATTTTGGGGTCAACTAACATGACATGTTTGGCTAGGTTATGATGATGCTTTTTTCCATGGAAAATTTAGAAGTTTATTTATTGAATCATCATCACCAACTATTGTCTACCGACTACCATGTTACATCATGTTATCAATCCACCACAGCTTTTTGGCAGCTAGTGTAGTAAGGTGCAGTAAAAAGAAGAGCATTCATTCATTCACCGTCATTACCCCAGTGCCGCAAAGGCTCCCACCTACGGTGGGGTAAGGGGGGGTCGGATGTACGCAGCCTTACCCCTGTACTAAAGCACAGGGAGACTGTTTCCGGATGACCCATGGTGAAAATTGCGGCGAAAAATGCATGAACTGACTACTGCTTCATAACAAAGAAGCGCAAACAGTTACGAGAGCCATTTTGCTTTATTCCATCATATTCTCAAGCCAAAAATAGGTAAACTTTGGCTCCATTGCAAATGATGGAATAGTAAAAATTGAACGAAATTTTGAATCACAAAAGTTTCATTTTGTGCAAGTCTTTTAGTACCTCCTCTGTCCAATTTTGTAAGAGACTCTTTACTTTTTGGGTTGTACCAAAAAATATGAACACTCCCTAAATTGAGCTTCACTAACTTTTTACTTTCCATTTTATTTATTTATCATTTCTCCTTTTTACTTTTTATGGGCACGTCCGCACGTAGTACATCTTATTTTTTAGAGGTAACAATTGTAAAAGAACACTATCTGTTATTATCTCAAAACTCATGTCAAACCCAAATGTATCTTACATTTTTTTAAGGAGGAAGTATATTGTTTATGATTGTAACCCTTCTACTAATTGAAATCATTTCCATAGTCTTTATACATTTCATTAGGAGTGTAAACTAGCTGAGCTGCCTGAGCCATGGCAACGTGTTTATACGGTCAATAGCTAGACTCAAGTTGTGTTCAAACTGTTGAGCTAGAGCATGAACTTAACTCCATGAACCTTGAGAATGAGCTTGAGCTACACAAGTGAGCTCAAAACATAACAGATGTGGTACATTCTTTGGAAAGACTTATAAAAGCCACGTCATTAGGGGCAAATCCGTAGCTAATGGAGCAGTTTATCATGGAAGAAGGTTTATTTCTTTTACAGAAGATTGATTTACCGCCTTGTTGCTTTCCTTCATTTAATTGATTTATCATTTATTCCTTTCCTTCATAGGCCGGTTTACATATTTATTGATTTTCTCAATTAGGTTAGTCTAATTTAAGAATCAATTTTCGTGTAATCCCCCCTTCCCCTACTGGTGTTTGTAACCCTTACTTGAATGCTTTGAATAATAAACAAGACTTTTTTTTATTATAATTTTGGAAAGGTTTCCAAAACTCCTGAAGCTTCACCCCTTTCCTATCCCTTTGTTTATCCTTCACGTGTCCCCTTCTCTTCTGTTCGCTTGCTATTATAGAAGAACCCTATCCTTCCATGCTCTTCAGCAACCGCCGGTTGACGTGATCTCTAGCCTGTGAACATAACAAAATGGTATATGAGCCTGCAGTTTTAACAAGCCATTAATAAGATATGTTGTGATTTTGTAATTCTAAAACCTGTCAACAAAAATAACTTAGGCTTGCTAGGGGGCATATTGATTTTTAAAAATTAAATGCAACGAAAATGAGAGGAAAACAATCAACCTATTATGACTTGGGAGCTGAATGATTCTTTAGCACTTGGATAAAGTGATGAAGATATAAGAAAGGAGCATTTGTGGAAATTATGAGAGAAGCTAATTGGCCATTTGTGTTGGGGAACTTTATGATGAAGTGGATGAAGGATATAGGAAGAGGTAAACAGCGACAAAGGTTAGGACTTACAAGTTATAACTAAAATTAGCCGTTAGGATCCATACTATTAAGTGAAAAGAATGAGCACAACATGACCGGAAGATGTCCTATGAGAAACTGACTAGCTGAATGACTAGCAAAGAGCTTGAACTTCGCTTGAGTTTGGGTGGTGTTTGATGGAGCGGAGCTTTCCCTATTTTTTTTTTTTGCAGCAATTGCCTGGTTGACCTGGCTTATTTCGGAGCTTGTGTATGCTGAAAGTAGAACTTGAGCTGAAGACAATCTACCAAAGGAATGCACTTTTCAAGAAATTCCAAATAGGCGCTGAAAAGAAATCTTTTTCTTTTTTGCTGAAACCAATGGATGGGCACAAAACCCTTGGAATAGAAGGGCCTAAGCAGTTTTTCTACTATCATAAGTTTCACTTTGTACATATGGCCTATGGTTAGGTAAAGTACTAAAGTTACAAATACCTTCATAGAATATTAGACGAGTGGAAAGCCTTAAGCTTTCAAATGGTTTGAGTTTCTGTAGTATTCTTATTGTAGAGAAAAAGTGTGATCAGCGCAAAAGCAACACTTGCATAAAATGTGTGTGGGGGGATACAATGAGGGATTGGTCATAGCTAAGAACTAGTATTCCCTTTTGAAGAGTCAACCTAATTGAATAAAGTGAACTATAGATTATATTATTCATGATCATCGAAAGGAATGCACAGCCTGAGAAATACTTAAGAATATATTAATCATGGTCAATACCTTAATTCCAATTTGGTCGGGGTCGGCAACTTTAGATATATTGTACATTCATAACCAATTTTTTTAAACAAAAACATCATCATCATCATCACCCCAGTGCCGCAAAGGCTCCCACCTACGATGGGGTAGGGGGGGTTGGATGTACGCAGCCTTACCCTGTACTAAAGCACAAAGTGACTGTTTCCGAATGACCCATGGTGAAAATCGCGTTGAAGATTGCATGGACTGACTGTTGCTTCATAACAGAGAAGCGCCGGCAGTTTAGTGAGCCATTTTGCTTTATTCCATCATATTCCCAAGCCAAAAAATAGTGAATCTTTGACTCCATTGCAAATGATGGAAATTTCATTGTCTTGAAATATACCATTGTCTTGCTTTGAAAGCACAAAACAGAAACTGAAGCGTCACTATAATGAAAAAGCAGCGTGGAAGGCAAATATCAAAGTTTCGTTTTGCAGAATGTAATAAAATGGTTGTTAAACTATTTACACCATTAAAAAAGTGACAACACTCCCTTGAAACCTCTACTGCAGCCCTTTATTCCTTCAAACCTTTGACTCCTAAACTAGTGAATTCCAAGTTAGATGAAGCGATTTCGCCAATGTTTACCTTCTTTCATGTCCATTTACAAAGCCTCTCCCTTTTTTTGTTTTGATGTCCTCATCTTAAAACATTTTACCATCCATTTCAGGAGCAACCTGTTCATTAATTTGCTATTTTGTTTCTTCTTCTTTTCAATAACTTCTTATTATTTAGAAGCGATATGGAGCTGAAAGATATGCTCTTACATAATAGTAAAATAATAATAAAATAATAATAATAAGACTGATCTAATGCCAGTTTTATTATACAGATCAATATGTTGGGCCATGAAGATGTGTGTGGCGGTCTGGTAGAGATGTCTATGTTAAGACGGATGTGTGGTAAGATTAGAATCTTCAATGAGGAGATTTTCGAAGAGTGTATGTAGCGACTATTGAAGATAAAGTAAGAGAAAACCAATTACGTTTGTGATGACATCCAACACGGTCAAGAAGAAAGCATCCCTTTACGAATTAGTGGAGTCATGGAGTGTTGAAGAAGAAAAGCAAGAAGCACAAGAAGAAGAAGAAACCATATAACTTGAGAAGTAGAAAGGAAAAGAATGTGTTCACATGAGGCTTTTGGACGTTGACCTCGTTCACAATGAGTTGGCATGGGATTAAAACTGAGACATGCAAGACTAGTGACTAGTGAGGCTTTTGAACGTTGACCTCGTTCACAATGAGTTGAGATAGTTTCTAAAGTCATCTTCCGTTGCAAAATCAACATTATTTTCATAATTTATCTTGAAACTCATGTGTACTGCTATTTTTTTTGTTGATTTATTTTGGAGTGGTATAGGCTATGTTTTGTTGGTTATGATTCAATTTATAAATTAAGCTTACCCTCATTTTCCTTGGTTCCTTACTTATGGAGTTAAATACTTCTTATATGTTTAGTTGTGTGCTCTGGAGTTTTCATCTCACATAACCACTTACTAACGCTTCTATATATATTCTAACTTTTCCAGGAACAGGACTTGCAGCTATTTTCATCAATATATCTGTTGAAAACTTTGCAGGATGGAAATACTCATTAACTTTTCAAATAATCCAGAAGTCTTACTTTGCTGGATTTCTTGTGTATACTTTGATCAATGTGGCTCTAGTGCTCTCTTCTGTATTTATTGTTACACATTTTGCTCCAGCAGCAGCAGGATCAGGAATTCCAGAAATCAAGGGTTATTTAAATGGTGGGCTATGATTGGTTATTTCTCTTTGCATCAGTATTTGTTCCATTGTTGACCCTGTAATTTCTATTTTATTGGTTTGCCTCTGTAGGAATTGACACACACGGAATCCTGCTTTTCAGAACTTTAATTGGAAAGGTGTGGGGCCCTGTATTTGTTTCAATTTGTGTTTTTTTTTACAATTTGGCGCTACTAGAACGCCTCATTTAATATTACGTGTGCCATTTTCTAGATTTTTGGAAGCATAGGTTCAGTTGGGGGTGGTCTAGCCCTTGGTAAAGAAGGTCCTCTTGTACATACCGGTGCCTGTATTGCTTCATTGCTTGGACAAGTATGTATTCCAAACGCCTGAAAGTGATAATATATTTTGAGAAATGGGACTCTTCACATTCATTTAATGATTTGGCTGCAAATCCCACCTTTATGAGTTGAATAAAAGACATTTTTGCTTAGGAAAGGATGAATGAGCCAGGCTGCATTTTATGCCTTCACAGTTAATTATAATAACTTGAAATGGTTCATCAATCTGAAGTGGACATTGCGAAGAAATCAATTGAATGAAGAGAAGAACATGCTGATGGAGTATAGTTCATTTAATTTAATACACGTTACTCGCCTGAATTCAGGGTGGATCAGCAAAGTATCATTTGAGTTCACGGTGGCTACAAGTTTTTAACAGCGAAAGGGATCGTCGCGATCTTGTAAGTAATGGATATCTTAGTTAATACTCTTCTTCAGTTTTAAACCCTAACGAGTTTTGTGCCATATGCCTTTTGTCGTTGACAATACAATTTTACAATATACTACGTATATGATAATCACAATGGCCACAAATGAACCAAGTCCCACAAAACATTCTCTTTAATACAGAGTAGAATATACACATATTCCTATTTCCTAAGAACTAAGAAAACAAATAGATGCTGAATAAGCCCTTACTGATACTCCCAATCTGCTATCACCAAGCCTGGTTCCAATTGTCTGAGAAGGTCCTAAATCTCTATTACCTGCTCTGCTTTTGGACGTCATCTAGTAAGGTTATGTGAGGAATCAGGGATGATGGGGGTTGCCATCGATCGTGTTGAGCCAGCTAGGCTTGTATTCCACCCAGAAGTTGAAATTTATCTTCTTGTTGAGCCAAATTTGTTTAGGCAAGGTTGCGAGCTGCTGATCCAGAAGTTGGTTGAGATTAGATCATTAGAGTTGTCACTTGTCAGCTCGGGGTAGGAATTTTCCGGCCGAAGAAATAAGGGCGTGTTCATCACTACCTTACGGAGCCTAATGAGTTCACGTTCATATGCTGTCAATTTCCTGTGCCTGGGCATCTTCCTACTGTATATTCAATTAGATGCCCCTCTTGTTGTAGCGCTGTTCCAACCCCACTGCCTGATGCATTTGACCACAAACTGGATGGTAAAATTAGGAAGGTGGGTGATTGTTGTAGCTGAGACAGGTCTTTAAAAGGGCGCATGTTACACTGGCCTCCTTTATTCAGTGAAAAGAGTTCTTTTTCAATAGCTAATTGAGTGGTTGACAATATTACCACAGCTCTGAATAAACTTCCGAATTTTATATAGTACCCCGCCAAACCAAGAAGGATGCAAAGGGCGGTGAGAGACCCTGGTTGCAGCCATTGCTAGATGGCCCGAAATACCGCTTTGTCAACTTCTACCCCATGCGTGTGAACTACATCTCCAAAATAATTGATTTTTCTGCCTAAAACTACACTTAGACAGACTATTTTTAATTCACGAGCCTTTGAAAGGTGGATGGATGTTACAGAACCCGAAAAGCATAACAAAAAATTCCAACTGCTCATGGTGCACGCCGAAGGTGTTTTTTCGGCGTCCTTGGATGCCATACAAATCGAATCATATCCGGAGTGGAGGTCCAGTATTGTGAAAAGCATGTTCCATGAAGTTCATTAATCACCCGGACGGGAAATTTATCCTTCACATTCTTAGCATTCAACTCTTTATAGTCCACAAAAACAAAGTAGAACCATGTTCTCTTAATGTCGTGTTTCACATAGCTAGGCTGCCTAGGCACTGGTGTTCAACCTTATCCTTTTGAAAGTATATATAAGTATATAACAATAGGGTCGTAGTACGTGTGTAACAATATGGAAATACAATTTTGAATGGGGAACATGCATACAAGTCGATCTTCTATTCAAATTGCCTGGATTTTATTAGAATAAATCACACACCTTGCACCGCACGGATGACCTACTAGTTATAGTAATAGAACACATAGGGTTTTTCATCCAAAAAAAAGAACACATGGGGTTTATAAACCCCTAAGGTCAAGCACATTTAGGGTCCACTATTTTCCATATAAGCAGTATAATCAAGTCTTCAGTGTGAAGCCATTAGTTAACACTTAAGAACTTAAAATTTTATCAATTTAAGTAGTAGTTTGTTTTCCAACAGATGACAACATCCAAATGACCATCATACGACCAATCTAAGAAATGGCTCAACACAATCTCACTAGAAAAGAAATATCTGGTGCAGATCTTGAGATAATTCACTTCACTATAAGTCTCTTGTATCATTCTGGATCACATAAGAGTGCTCCCTCTTTAAATAGAAGCTTGACATTTGGTGGTGGCCTGGTTGGATAACACACATAATATCTCACTTCTCAATACTAGGTGAAACAATGAGTATGATGCTAAGTTTGGAATTACGAGGTCTTAGTACTCCAAAATGTGAAGGGAAGACTATCCAGTTCACGTGTTACAACAGTTGGCGGCTATTTTGTTCGATTCTTGGTGGTTGCAATGTAAAATTTATAAGTTCTCCAGTCAATTGTCAGACTGCAACTCTGCGAGTAGTGTTTCTATTGGTACTATATGTTTGTAGTTGCTCAAAGTTTTTAGCACTGCCAATAGATTTATTCTAATCATGAAGAGCAAGTAATCAGTGCTCTTTTCTTGATAGAGTCATCTGCCTCTATGTTGTGCTCAACTGCTCATTCTTTTAATTGTTAACTTTTTTGAGAAGGTAACTTGTGGATGCGCGGCAGGAGTTGCTGCAGCCTTTAGAGCTCCAGTTGGTGGTGTGCTCTTTGCACTTGAAGAAGTCACATCTTGGTATTTCTCAATTTGTATCATGTCTTCTTGGTCATGTGTATCCATTTTTTTTTTCCTGAAACATTTTTAACAAGCTGAATCAGTTTTTACTCTGTTTCTCCTCTCTATATCTATATGTCTTTTATTTTTCTACTATATGTATATATATATAGAGAGAGAGATAAATGATCTCATCAGATTCCTGGCAGGTCAACTTCATGTCAGGCCAAAATATGAAATCAATGATCTAATTTTTTAGTCATTAGTATTAACTAATAACTACTTCTTCCGTTCCTTTTTAATTGCAACAGTCAACGTTTCACGTTTGCCACCGCACAAGTTTGACCATTAGTATATTTTACTTCTTATTAGTAAAAAATTTAAAAACTTCATATTTTGAAAATTTAGAGTGAGAAGAATTTAACAATATTTTTAAAAAAAATTAATTTATAATGCATTAATAAATAAAATATAGTCAAAGTAGAATATGTGAATAGTGCAAAAAGTCCAATGTTGCAATTAAAAGAGAACGGAGGTAGTATTAGTTTCAACTATTAGATCTTAAATTTGTTTGAAGGTTGATCCTTACAAACTCACATTTTCCCCTCAAATAATTTTGTAACAGCTAAGATTGATTCATTATAAACGTTGAATTAGGCTTGGTAAAATTGAATTTTTTATGATCTAAGTATCTAACGGTTATACCTAATAGTTGCTATTCTAATGAACAAAGATATTTATATGATTGACTTCATTTTTGTCAAAAAGTGAAAGTTCATCTGGCGAGATTCATGTTAAGTGGGCCTGATGAGTTCATTTCTCTCTCTCTATGTGTGTGTGTGTACACACGCCCACACAAGTGCACATACACACATTTATAACCTACAGAGTTGTGCATTGTGTCAAGTCTAACTAGACTAGTATTTACTGATAGGGAATCATAAGAAGTCTGAGAAAAAATTATCAAAATATTTATTCAAGATTTTGTGAATAAATTCATTTCTTATGAAAGTCAACTTTGTTTTACTGTGCTCATTATTCTGCTGGTGGCTTATCTATTCTGTATTTAAAATGCAGTTAAGCTCTTGATGATTTGTTCATTACTTCATTTACCTCCATCAGATTCTTGCAATTTTTTTTTGTAGGTGGAGGAGTCAATTGATGTGGCGTGTCTTCTTTACCTCTGCTGTTGTTGCTGTTGTTGTTCGTTCAGCAATGGGTTGGTGCAAGAGTGGAAAGTGTGGTCATTTTGGCTCTGGAGGCTTTATTATCTGGGACATTTCTGGGTCAGGAGTTCAACTTTGTTTTCATCTTCTATAGTAACTTTATTAAAATCAATTATTTCTTATGTTGACTTGCATTTCCTTAGAGGTCAAGATGACTATTCTGTTGAGGAATTGCTTCCCATGGCCATTATTGGTATTATTGGGGGCCTTCTAGGTACTAAACTATACTCCATACTTCCCGTCATTAAGTATTACTCTGATGTGTATTGAGGTTTGAAAGAAATGTACTTGCAAGATTTATTTAGTGTGCACATGGCTTTCCAGGAGCATTATTCAATCAACTTACTCTATTTATAACTCAATGGCGTCGGAACAATTTGCACAAAAAAGGGACTCGTGTAAAAGTAAGTTCTCGATCATTGTATTGACCTCCACGATTTCAGGTTCTTGTGTTTTGGTGTTTAATTTCATGTATTTATGGTATTGACTAAACTTCTTGTTTGGATGCTTTTAATTTATTTACCATGCAGATTATTGAAGTCTGTATCATCTCTGTGATAACTTCAGTTGTTTCATTTGGACTGCCATTGTTTAAAAGATGCACTCCCTGTCCCGATTTTGATGCCAATGCAAGTATTGAATGTCCACGTGCGCCGGGAATGTATGGAAATTATGTAAATGTAGGATCCTATGCAACACTGTTTCATCAAATTATGTTTTTGTATTTGCGTAGAATCTAGCAAATGATTTGTGCTGTTACTCTTGGTTCGTGTGCTGACAATGTGGCATGCTGCATGCATTAGCATCTCTGATGTTCTAGCATTATATCATGTTTATTGATAGTCACATGTTTGATATATGTAAGCTGTAAGTAGCACTCTTCCACATTTTGGAATATATGTCTGCTCCGTTGTAGCTTAGATCTTGCTTATTGTTATTTTGTATTGGTCACTCATCTTGTTGAATGCTACTCCCTCCGTCCCATTTTACCTGTCCTACTTTCCTTTTTGGGTTTTCCCAAAATAAGTGTCTCCTTTCCTTTTTTGGAAAGAAATATGTGGCCCATACCATTTCACTTTATTATACTCAAACTTCAACCACAACTTTTACTTTTTCAACCATTTTATTAATAATCGTGCCAAGTCAAAGTGAGACACATAAAATGGGACGGAGGTAGTATTTGGGTATTTTATTATATTGTATTCGTAGTGTTTTTCATGCTTTTAGTCATTTGTATTCACAGTTCTATTGTCAGAACAAGAAGGAATATAATGACCTTGCCACGTTATTCTTCAACACTCAGGTTACTCATATTTCCACCATAATATTTTCTTTTCTCATATACACTAATGAGTGGTAACTAACCCTGCCATCAGAACTTTTCAGCTTATGCTCTCTTTATATTTGCTCCATGTTTGCAGGATGATGCTATAAGAAACTTATTTAGTGCAAACACAGTCCACGAATTCAGTGCCCAAAGCCTTCTTACTTATCTGGTATTGCTCTTGTTTCATCTTCTGGTACTTCATTTCTGTAGATATCAACCTTCATTTTTTTAGCCATTAAACTGATGAGGATATTGACATTTCTGACTGATAGTTGAATGTCATTTTATAATTTTTCCTGTTTGGTCACATTTGCTGTCTTTGAAAAATGGCAAATTCTGTACCAGAATCTGAGATGCTTACTTTTTTGTGCATTGTGAGAAAAGTTACAAGCAACACTCTATTAGCAACACTCTATTAGCTTCCCGTTGATATGGTTATATTTCTTAGGTGATGTTTTACACCTTAGCAGTGGTGACTTTTGGTACTGCTGTTCCAGCTGGTCAATTTGTTCCTGGAATAATGATAGGTTCAACTTATGGGCGTCTGGTTGGCATGTTTGTTGTTAGATTTTACAGGAAACTTGATATTGAAGAAGGAACGTAAGTCCATTTCTTATCTACTTTTCATTTGTTCAGCTGTACGATAACCATGCTTTTTTCATCTTAGGGGAGTTGACATATTATGATCTGAGTTATTCAATTTGTGTAGAATTTATTACTGAGTAATTGAGGAAAGTTTATGTTAGTGCTTTTATTGATGCAGAACATTTCTATACCATTACAACAACATCCAAGCCTTAGTCCCAAAACAATTTGGGGTCGGCTAACATGAATCGATCCATGATATGAGTGCTAAAAAGAGAAGAGAGATAAGGGGGGAAAAGTGAGATAAAATGAATAAGATAAAGATAAATATAAGTTAACAATAACATAAGAATATAAGAAAGGTAAAAGATAAAAAGATAAAAAAGCATAAAAAAGGTAGAACATAAAAATAACATAAGAACATAAAAAGATAATGAAGATAAAAGATAAAAGAAAAAGAGAGACTAGTTCTGAAGATAGGAAAAGTTCCCAACCTCTACAAAATAAGCCGAACCACATATAATGTAGTTTTTCCTTATGTAACTTGGGCGAAGAGAATATAGCTGGTTCTGTATCCAACGAATCAATAGTTTGTAATTGCATATTCATGTTTTGGAGTAAGGATGTTTCTAATTGGACTGAAATTTTTTGGTCTAGTCTGGTTTTATCTGGTCTGTTCTGATTTGGTTTGGTGACTTGGTCTAGGACTGAATCCAGTCCAAGTAAAAACATCCTAAGCCTTATACAGCCTTTACTTTCTTATTTTACCTCGCACCCCACCTTTGCACTTCTAATCAATAAGATGATCCCGTGTCTGGCATTTTTCTTCTTTGGACGGATAGACTACTGTTTTTTAAAGGGGGGGAGTAACACAACATGGTTAAACCGAGATATCGAAACCATTTGTGACATAAGTGCTTAAATTTCTGAATAGGTTTGCCTCAACATGATCATAATCAGGATTCAGGAACTCCTTAACTTGTTTGCCTTTACTGGCAATTTTCTTTAGGTATGCTCTGTTGGGTGCAGCATCTTTTCTAGGAGGATCTATGCGGATGACCGTGTCTCTTTGTGTCATAATGGTCGAAATTTCAAACAATTTGAAGTTTTTGCCTCTCATCATGCTTGTTCTTCTCATCTCAAAGGTGTGAATATTACTTCATGTTGATATTCTTTTCCAAATTTTGGATCGCTCATCATTTTCATTTTCATTTACCCCAGTGCCGCAAAGGCTCCCACCTACGGTGGGGTAAGGGGGGGTCGGATGTGTGCAGTCTTACCCCTGTACTAAAGCACAGAGACTGTTTCCGGATGACCCATAGTGAAAATTGTGTCCAAAATTGCATGGACTGACTGTTGCTTCATAACAAAGAAGCGCAGACAGTTTAGTGAGTCACTTTGCTTTATTCCATCATATTCTCAAGCCAAAAAATAATGAATCTTTGGCTAATTGGCTCCATTGCAAATGATGGAAAATGTTACAATCTGCAGGCTGTTGGTGATGCTTTCAATGAAGGAATTTATGAAGAACAGGCTAGATTAAGAGGCATTCCATTACTTGAGTCGAGACCAAAGCATCAAATGCGCTACATGACAGCAAAGGAGGCATCGAGGAATCAAAAGGTGAAAGTCACTCATGGGTGCCAATTGAATGAAATAAAGCATATTGTATTCTGCTTCTAGTTCTGGCTAAGTTCTTACAAAGCAAAAAGCTATGATAGTGATTGTGCTAGGAGCTCTTTCCTGTTTGATCTATTGTATTGGGGTGCCTTTGGGTAATCTCAGGATCTAACCATATGAAATTGCATTTGCAATAGTATGAATGTGTCATCACTTCTATGAATGGAACTTTTGAGCCTGTACTTGATAACTGATAGATATTTTGTTCATTGACTAAAAATTCTTAATAGTTCTTTTTGTTACCCTTTTCTGAAGTCTGTCCTTATATTTTGCTCACTTGTCTTGTTCGTGTATTATATAGGTTGTCTACTTTCCGCGTATTGTGGAGGTGAAAGATATTGTTTCGATCTTGCGGAGTAATAACCATAATGGCTTCCCTGTAAGCGCATGATTAAAAACACGCAATTTGCTGGGTTTTTTATTGGGTTCTTCTAGCGTCTTGAATAACTCTTTCTTGCTTGTTTACCAGGTTATTGATCATACTAGGAATGGGGAGACACTAGTTATTGGACTCATACTACGAAGGTACAAGTTAACCATGTTTGCTGTTTTGCTTTGTGTTTATGGAATCAATTTTTCTTGGTTAACATAAAGCTAACATAATTTTTAATGATTGCTGGCTTGCTGCTTTGCTTTAGCTTTCTTTGCTTGCAATTTATATAGTGTTTTTTCATAATGCAGTCATTTGTTGGTACTTCTTCAATCGAAAGTTGATTTTCAACATAACCCTTTGCCCTGTAATGTAGGAGATGGTTCTTTACCAATTAGGTAAGAAGTGATCTTTGAATTTTATACTGGGCTAGTGCTTATTAATCTATCATCTGAAAGTTTGTTGATTGATTATACACATTTAATAGGCACAATCTCAGTGAGTTCGTGAAACCCATATCTAGTAAAGGATTATCTATAGATGATATTCATCTCACTCAGGATGATATGGGAATGTTCATTGACCTAGCTCCTTTTATAAACCCTTCTCCATACATTGTTCCTGAGGACATGTCCTTAACTAAGGTGAGATTTGTGTTAACATGTTATAGTTTCATTTTTCCCCATCTTTATCAAGTTATTATCATACTACATCTGCAGATCAGATTACGGCAAAGATATTAACCCAGAAAGATTTGTGTAGGTTTATAATCTGTTTCGCCAATTGGGACTACGACATATACTTGTTGTTCCACGTGCTTCTCGTGTCGTTGGTTTGATTACGCGTAAAGATCTGCTACTGGAGGTACATTTGATTGCAACTCTTGTCTAATAAACCATAGCTTATGCAATTATTATCTCTAATTATTGGGCTTAACCGTAAAGAGTCTGATGCAGGATAATGAAGATTCAGCCCCTGTAGAGCTGCATCCCACTAGTGTAAGGTCTTGACACTGCCTTGCTCAATATCTGCACTTCATGATTTTGAATATTATTATAAAGTAATAAACTAATACCTCTGTCTCTTTAATCTGTCTTGGGTCAACCCCAAAATTATTTTCACGTTCCCTTTAAGGAAATGGTTGTGTTTGTTATTATTTGTCTCCCCTAAACAAATTTCATCCGCACAAGTTTCACATTCTTAAAATCCGGGTCAAGTCAAAAGGGGGGATTAAAAAAGAACGCGTTAGTTTGTTCTATGGCCGCAGTCCAAATCCAAGAAAGGTCAAAGGTTCAGTGCATGGGCTTGGTGGCACCCTTCCCAGACTTTGGGATTCTCAGGTTTAAATCTGTCTCTGTTTTGTTTGATAGAGGTTGGCAAGCTAATAAGAGACTGATGACTGGGAATGAAGATGTTGGGCAACCACTACTCAATGGGCTCATTTAAACTGTAGTTATCTCAACCGATTTTCACCTAGACGGCTAGACCGGTTTCGCCCATCTCCCTCAAATTTTTGGGCGTGAGAAATCTTGTTTCCTATTTTAGGGCGGCCATGACTTCACATAGGTTATACATGTGAACGCTGTACAGTAAACTCCATGTTCACCTTATGTTTAGAGACTCACCCTGCTGAACTCTGAAGTCCTGCCACCAATATTTTCTATTAATGTCAACTAAATTTTGTTGTTTCGATATGAGTACACCATTTGTTTTAGTTTAGGGACCGATGTTCCGAGCAATCTATTTATTAAATGTGCTTATTTATTGTTCACTCTGCATGCCAAGTGCTCCATTATTATTCATTCCTCATATAATCGTTGTATCTGGAGCATGAAGATTGAAAGTCAGGAAATTATCCTAAATAGGATACAAACAATTAAAATTCCAAAATCCCAGTACTTTGGATACGTAAATACGTTTGATAAAACACGTTGAAACTAGTTTGAACACTTTGGGTGCCAAACTGATTTTTGCTTGCTACGCCTGCACAGTTAACGGGTTAATTAACTATGCTTTATGTGCCTATCGGCCCTATAGGGATGGACTCGGGCCGGGCCAACCGGACCGGCCCGCTACTGTGCAGGCCCGGACCGGCCCGGTGAACCGGTCCGGGCCCGGGCCTCCAGTTTAGTGAACCGGCCCGGTTTAGGCCGGAATTTAATTATTTTTTTTTGGAAATTTTTTTAAGTTTTGGGTTGGATTAGGTATTTTGGGCCATTTGAGGTGGTTTGGGGTGGAGAGGGAGGGGTAGGGGGTTAAATAAGAGAAGAAGAAAAAAAAATTAAAAAACCGGGTGGCCCGGCCCGGTCTGGCCCGGACCTGGAAACGCCCACCACCGGTTCGGGCTCGGGCCTCATTTTTTTGAACCGAGGCCCGGCCGGGCCCGGGCCCAGGCCCGAACCGGGCCCGAACCGGAACCGGTCCACCCCTAGCCCTATATTCGCAATTAAAATAGATAAAAATAAACCACTCCGGATTGGGTCTTTTAGTATGGCCGACTAATTAGGAAAAACAAGTCAGGTCGATTAATCTATTACTCAAGTTGACGATTGTGTATCAAAATTTACAAAATTAATATAAAAACCCAAACTTTGAATAGGTGTAAGATAAATACCCTAAAGGCCTAAACTTGCACTTGTAATATTTTATCCCAAACTTTATATAAATAGTTATGTTAGCACCATGATCATATGTTTTTTTCACAAATGTAATTTATGGTTTTGAGTGCATAATATAAAATACAAAAACATTTATGAGGATGCAATTGAAAATAAATTGTACCGGATGTAATATTATTTATTTCACAAATGAAACTTTAGAATGCTAATTACATCCTAACAAAGCTTAGGATGTAATTATTTCCAATAAATTTATATTCGTAAAAAACACAATCATGATAGGAAGATAACTTTTTAGACAAAGTCCGGGGTATATATATATTGTGTGCCCGTTTGGTGACCCTTTTTTTCGGCTTATCAGCTAGTTTTTTTAATAAAAAACATAACTTTTGATTTCGCGCACTGAATTATTAAAAAAGTAAGGTTGGAGTTACTTTTCTGGTTGAAGTTACTATAGAGAATCATTTTAGTTACTTTTTCATATTTTATTTTATTTATTAATAACAAATATTTTAAATACAATTTTTTCATAAATCAGCAGAATAAGCCAACACAGCCACTTCAGCCAAAACGTCATCACTTTTAGCATAATAAGTTAATTCAGTCAATTTTGATGTTCCAAACGGGTTCTACATAGGGGTGGACCCGGGTCGGGCCGGTTCTAGTTCAGGCCTGGGCCCGACCAGGCTTTTATTTGAGAATGGGTGAACCGGAACCGGCCCGGGTGGCCGGCGGGTCCTGGCCGGGCCGGGCCTCCGGCCACTTCCTTTTTTTTACTTTTCTAATTAATCCCCGACCCCCCCCCCCCCCCTCACCCCCACCCCCCAAACCACCCCAAATGGCCCAAAACACCCAGCCCAATCCAGAAAATAAAAAAATTGAAAAGAAAAAAGAAAAGAAAAAGGCCCGGAACCGGGCCCGGCCCGGCTCGGCCGGTTTGTCTATTGGGTGATCCGAGCCCGCACCGTAAAACCACCGGGCCGGGCCTACCCGGACATGTCCCTGACCGGGCCACTCGGCCTGAGTCCATGCCTAGTTCTACATAAGCATGTTATCTCACACTCCATTAAAAATTGAGATATTTATTTTATTTTTTCCTATAAATAATTTATACTTTTGGGGTTTCTATGATAATAATCAACATTGAGAGTGTTCATAAAAATAATTTGAACTAGCCCCAAGTCTCCAACTTATTTTCCAATTACTTCACTTTTTAATTATTTACTTGGGGGGCAAGTATAATTTTTTTTATTACAATTTAATCCCTTAATTGTATACATTCCTCTTTTTTATTGTAATGATTAAAAAACATAACTCTTTTTTGAAGTGACACTAAACCTCCTCATTTAAATACTAATTAAAATATATTCCATCTACATCCATTTTCGTAATTTATAATAACTTTTGTACAAACTTAAATTTATAAACTAATCAAAAACGCTATTCTTACACACTGTTCATACAAACACTTACACACTCATGTCTGTGTAGATTTTTTTGTCTGTATACAAACACAACGTATTTTCAAATAAGGAATTAAAGATATTAAAGGTCAAACGACTCAAACTTGTGTGTTGTCAAGGGTGAAAAGTGGATCATTGCAATTAAAAAAGAACGGAGAAAGTGTTGTACGTGCGTGTTTTGCAAGTATACTCCTTTTGTTTGTTATAATTTTGTAATTTTCCCGTTTTAGTTGTCCAATAAATTTAGTCACTTCGTTTTTAATAAACTAATTTGTTTCTCCGTATTCACTTCCTCCGTATTTAAAGGTTCCCTGCACTTTTCTTTTTGGAATGTATTTAAAAGTTTCCTACACTTCCAATTTTGGTAAGTTTATCCTTTATAAAATACTCAACTACCCTTAATTTATCTAATTTTTATCTTCTCTTTCATACTTTTACACACTCTCTCTTACTTTTTCTACAATATTCACTACATTTACTATTCTATCTTAAAATATTGTGTGAAAAGCAAATGTATGGAACATATAAATAAAGAGGGAGTATTTTTTTTCCTGTCGTACGTGTTCACAAATTTCAATCATATATGGAGTACTATGTAAGTTTTACTTTATTTTTCGTTGTTTTTCCTAAACTTGATAAAGTTACGGAGAAGAGACGGTGGCGGACAGGGAATAGTATTTGTACGATACTAACTAGATATACGAACTGTATGTATACGGCATCCATTTATCAAGTGAGTAAAACTTGCATACAGTACAGTGTCTCATTTCAGTCAAGGGTGACAATCGGATAGAGCTAATATTACACGTTGGTTGAGTTGACTTGAATGGCGAAATATCAAGCCATCAATTAAGAACACATTTATAAACGGATTGACTGACATCATCGCTTCAATTATCCTTTAATTTGTACTAATCCAAATTTAGAATCAACATCCAGTAACTATTTCTACACGTGTCAAATCATGGGTGTCCATGCACGACTTTTAGCGTCATTTCGCAACCCCTAATAAGTCTGTACTTTGTAGGTAAGACTTGTCAATGAACCTATTTGTGGTAGGGAAAAGGGACAAATAAGCCCTCGAACTAATAAAAAAAAAATGCAAATAAGCCCTTTTGTAGGAGGTTCCGTCCGGTCATCGTCATTTGGGGAGGTTCACGGTGGAATTTTTTGATGAAATTTTTTGAGCATCTTATTCATTAAGTCTAGTTTAGTCCTACTGAATTTCAGCTAAAAATTCAATCGGGAAGACAGTCAAATGAATTTTTGAAGATAACTGCGCAGTTAAACAACGCAGTATATTTCCGAGAATCATTTGTGTGCCTTCCCGGTTGAATTTTTAACTGAAATTCGGTATGGCTAAACTAGACTTAATGAAGAAGATGCTCAAAAAAATTCATCAAAAAATTCCACCGAGAACCTCCCCAAATGACAATGATCAGACGAAACCTCCTACAAAAGGGCTTATTTGCACTTTTTTTATTAGTTCGAGGGCTTATTTGCCCCTTTTCCCTTTGTGGTATATATCAATCTATTGGCTGATTTAGCTAAAATGTACGAAGTTTTGGTTGTATGGACTGATTTTGTTGATTTTTGGAAAAAAAAAATTAAAATATATTTTATTATTACAATAAAAAGGAAAAATTATATGAAAAATAGTTAAAATGGTCGTCTATAGTAACTTCAGTCAATACAATCAGAAAATTAACATCAACCTTACTTTTTCTTATTATTACAAGATCTAGTGCGCGAAATAAAAAATTACGTGTTTTGTTGAAAAATTGATTGATAAACCTGATAAGCCAAAAATCATGGTTACCAAATGTGCACTTAGTTAACTTATGGAAATCAATAGTTACAATTTACTCATCAATATAGTTCACTTTGTGTTGATCCAGGATTCTTTTTAGGGAAAACGGTCAATTTGGTCCTTGTACTTTCCTGAAAAGACAATTAGGTCCTTGTACTTTAAAAAAGATCAATCAAGTCACCGAACTTTGTAAAAACGTTCAATTGAGTCCATTTGCAGGTTACTTGTCATGTCAGTAGGTCACTCGCTGACGTTGCTTACATGTAGCAGCCCAATTAGCAATAATTTTTGCTGACGTGGCACACATGTGGAAGCCCGTTCAGTCATTTGTTGATGACGTGGCGCACAAATGGATCGCCATGTGTGCGCCACGTCAGAGGGTGACCGCTGACATGACAAGTAACATGCAAATGTACTCAATTGAAAGTTTGTACAAAGTTCGGGAATTTGATTGAATTTTTTAAAAGTATGAGGACCTAATTGACTTTATCATGAAAGTATGAGGACCAAATTGACAGTTTTCCCTTCTTTTTATAAGAGAAGTAATTCTGAATCTTAACATAACACTTTATTATTTCATATTTATATTATGGGTGTATAAGTTCAGTACTCTTCCTCACATCCAGACACTTCGAATTGATCACGTCGTCATTCATTTTTTCATCAATTCATCATTGTCATTCTTTTGTAATGGTGTCGTCATTTTCATTGAGGACACACATCATGATTATTTTTTTCACAAATCAGCAAAATCGTTCAATCGTAATCGTGCCATGCATGCTAAAAGTCAACCTAAGAGAATATAATACCTCAGGATATTAATATAACACTTTATTATTTCAATAGGTTAACATGAAATAAAGTTATTTGCAAAAAAAATTCTTACATAGTTTTTAAACATGCATGCATGCAATGCAACTAATTCTAATTTTAATTATAAATATAATTGTGTGCGAGAAGTTGACTTTTTTTACCGGTTAAACCTCGAGATTCAGATAATTTTTAGATGAAATCTGAAATCATATTGAAGTGTCACGTTTACGGTTAGACGATCGAATTTGAATAGTATCGGTTTTGGTCAGTTAAAGTTTGACCATATTCCCGGTCTTGACTTTACTATAGCCGGTTAGTCCCTACCTGCTATATAACCCCCCATGGTGCATTAGGATAAACAAAGTTTTAATTTGGCTATAGGTACGTTTTATAGGTGAGGGCACGTGCTAATTAAAAAAGGATCATCGGAAATTCATCGCAGCATGCCGGCGGCAGGATTTTCAACCCCGGCGAGGGACGGCGAGAAGGAGTTTGAAGCGAAAATAACTCCCATCGTCATCATCTCGTGCATCATGGCCGCCACCGGCGGCCTTATGTTCGGCTACGACGTCGGTGTCTCCGGTATGCATCCAATGCTTTATTTACATCAGTTGAAACATTTTACATGGATGGATTATGGATATAGCTAACACTGCTCTTTCATTTGACGAATTTAGCATTTGACTGTTTGATGTTCAAAATTGTTTTCAAATTAAAATTCTATATGTATCATTGTTTTATGAAATAATTTACACATGCATCTAGCAATCTATTTTAACAAAAAAAATTAGCAAGTGTAACTAAAAAACAATATAAACAAAGTATGGTAATTTTAATTTTTAAACATGTATCTCTATATATTTTGAAATTTGTAGTTGTCTACATACTCCTATATAACTAGATTAGAATGAAGAATGTTCTCAGATAAATTGATTTGTCTCATACCGAATTAGATTAAATTTGAGTATACATAAATAGATTATACAAGATTAAATTAAACCAAACTCAAGTAAACTTGGATTATTGTGAAACACAAATTTGACTATATAATACGTATAACGTACTATCAGAGTTTAATTAACATGCCAGATCATATTTATTCAGAACAAACAAAACTTATTAAGTAGATCGTTCGAATGGGCTATATCAGGGCAACCCCTAATTTGGGTCTAGGAGTGGGATATCTGATCCGGAACCGAAGAACCGGTTGGGGCAAAACCATGATAATTTGGTTCGGTTCAGTTCCAACAAATGAACAATCGGTTGTTAGCGCGCGATTAGATTCCTAATTGTTATCGATGGTTTGATTTTTGGTCCCTACAAAAATAAAAGAACAACTATGATAGTAATAATAATAATAATAATGGAAACGATAATAATAATAATAGTAATAATAACGAAAAAGGGTCAAATAGACCCTCGAACTTACATAAAACGGTCAAATAAACCCTTATATAGGAGGTTCTGTCCGGCCGTCGTCATTTGGGGCAGTTCCCGTTGGAATTTTTTAATGAAAATTTTTTATCATCTTATTCATTAAGTCTAGTTTACTCATACCAAATTTCAGCTAACAATTCAATCGGTAAGGCATTCAAATGAATTCTTGAAGATAACTGCGCTTTTAACGGCACAGTTATATTCAAGAATGCATTTGAATGCCTTCTGGATTGAACTTTTAGCTGAAATTTGGTATGAGTAAACTAGACTTGATAAATAAGATGCTCAAAAAAATTCATCAAAAAGTTTCACCGGGAACTGCCCCAAATGGCGACGGCCGGACAGAAACTCCTATATAAGGGCTTATTTGACCTTTTTATGTAAGTTCGAGGGCTTATTTGACCCTTTTCTTTAATAACAATAGTAGTAATATCAATGATATTGTTGTTGTTGTTGTTACTATGATGATTGACAACATAACTTTCATCTCTAGCACATGATGACTTTCATTTTATTTTATAAATGAGAATTGAAAATTCTTTTATTCTATTTAGTGTTCACTTAATTTGTTTGAGCTTTGAATATTTGAAGTGATTGAACTTCAAGATAAATTTCTTATCCTTGTGTTTTGAATTCTGTAATTTCATGTGATAGAAAGTAAATTAAGTGCCAATTCTTGAATGGAAAATAATTATTTAGCAACCAATAAAAGCAACCATCAAACCGTTTAATTTTAATTTGTTTCCATAATCATCATAAGCCTATATAGGCTATAATTAAAAATACGATCCAGTCTCACTTCAAACACATACCCTGATTAATCAAGTGAACAACCTTCTTAAGCAGCATCGAGAAAATTTAAAACCTACCAAGAAATGACATGCATATATAGTATGAAAATATATTGAAAGATGTTAGTAATTAATTATTATTTTGACCAAAATTCACTTAAAGAATCAATATGTATTTACTGTGTGTGAATGTTTGCAACGAAAGTTATAAAGTAACAAAGTGCCATATTAAGACAGAAAGTAATCTTCCTACCAGGATGACCTTTTATAAAGGAAGTAAATGAGTGATATAAGGACTATGTAAATGGGTGATATGAGTGTTCTTTACGGTTATGCAGGTGGAGTGACATCAATGGGGCCCTTCTTGAAGAAATTCTTTCCGGTGGTGTACCGGAACACACAGCATCCTGGCCAGAACAGCAATTACTGCAAGTACGACAACCAAGGCCTCCAGCTCTTCACTTCCTCCCTCTACCTCGCCGGCCTCACCGCCACTTTCTTCGCTTCCTACACCACCAGAAAGCTCGGCCGGAGGCTCACCATGCTCATCGCGGGCTGCTTTTTTATCGTCGGCGTCATCTTTAATGCCGCCGCTCAAAACTTGGCTATGCTCATTGTGGGTAGGATCTTGCTTGGATGTGGCGTTGGCTTTGCTAATCAGGTATCTACCTACCTACATTCCAGTTTATTATTCATCTCGTACCCCAAAGTCTTCCCTAGTGGGGCGTGGGGACCTTTAGAGTTGGAGATTCAACTTTTGAAACATGGATTATATTAAAAAGTTGAATTTCTATCCCAATTAAAGACCCCTCATGTCCCGTTCGACATAACATATGACATGTTGTGAACAATGGTGACTCGTTTGAACATAGAGACTAGATCAATGTCCATTGCACAAAAAGTATCCTTTTTTGTGGGGTGACAGAGGCTCGAGCACAAAAAGTATCCCTAACATTGAGAGTTAATTCTACCCTCTCGTTTACGGGACTCTGTCCCGGATCACTTGTTTCGAATTTCACCCTTGTGATAAATTGAGTCGTACATGAAGCAATAAGCGGTGAATCGTGAAATGTGGTGTTAGGAGTTCGGGCCTTGAAAGTTTTATATTGCGGAAGCCGGCATAAAAAAGTTTAAAGGAGTGTTTGCAGTTGCTTAAAAAAAACGTTTTTCAACTTTTGGCTTTAAAAAGCTGAAAAGAGTGTTTTCAAATGACAGCTTATGCTTAAATTAATCACTTAAAAGCTAAAAGCTGGAAGCAGGTGGAAGGGTGCTTTAAACTGTTTTTCACTTTTTCTATTACACAAAAAGTACTTATTTTAACAAACACTACCAACTTTTACTTTTTAAGAATCACTTTTTTCTCAAACACTACCAACTTTTACTATTAAGTACTTTCTCCAAAATCACTTTAAAAAATCACCTTTTAAAAGTAGAAACAATCGCAAACACTCCCTAAATCATTAATAGTAGTATAGGCGGAGAATATACATTAGAGATTATTTATATTTAGAAAAAGATATACACCCAAAAAAATCTTAGAATGATGGCCCTTCCTTGTCTCCAGTACGTATGTAGCACCGACACGGGTACGCGGAAACACGGAAAACCGGAAACGGGTACGGGGATACGATAAAAAAAAAGTAGGATACGGATACGGGGCCAAATTTATAATTATTAAAATTTATGAGGGTGTATTTATAAATATTAAAAATTATAGGGGTGTATTTATAAGTGTTTAAAATAATTTTTTTTTGAAAAAAAAAACTCATATATCATCCTCTGACAGACGTCTACCCATTCATGACATTGATCAAAGCATTTTACATTTTCAAAATACTTAGAAATAAATTCATATTTTATCTCATATACACTGTGCATCTTGAAATATAAATATAATCAATAAGTCATTAATTTAAAATGAGAAATAAGTCAAACAACTACAGTTTTGAAATTAAAAGCGCAAGTACTCAAAGTTCTAATGCATATTTCCGTTGGAGCTATTAATTTCCAGGGATAGTTATAATTAGGAATAGGAGGATGAGTGAATTAGGAATAGGCGCATTAGTTGTGTACCACATAAAAGCAAGGTAAAAACTATTTTTAGCTTTTCATTTTTGAAGAATTTTTTAATGTAAATTTTGAGTGTTTTTTTAAAGTTGATACGTGTATCCGGCCATCAGGATACGAGTATCCAAAATTTTAAAATAATTACCAAGAAAATTGGAAACTTTTAAAAATTGCCGATACGGTCCGGGAACGTACGGTACGGGTATCCAGAGTATCGGATACGGGAACGTTTCATATACGCCGATACGGCACGTCGGCACCCTAGTGAAGTATTCGTGTTTCATATGTCTCCACTATTGATTTCAAGCATTACACATCTACACACATGATCCATCACATGTTATGTTCATACTCCAAATTAAAGGTTCATCCAATGCACCTAATCTATTTTGTAATCTAAAAACTAATTTAATAAAGTTAAGTGTAAACTTAAAAAATATTAATGAGTACGAAAAGTCTCCAGCTTACCAGTAACACATGGATAATCTGTTCCATTTTTTTTTTTTTGCAAAAGGAAATTTTTATTAATGAGAACAACAGAGTACAAAGAAAAGATGAAAAAAGAAACAGAAACAAAAATGAATACAGATGCCCTGCCCAACGTATTAAATTATAAGACACCCTATAAAATAGCCTCATCAAATAGTAGGTTCCCTCAAGACTCATAAGCGCGTTCGTCCACGCGAGCTTGGGATCGATCTTGTCCTCATATGGTGAGATCGCTAGTGCTTTTTCCTGTAAATTTTCATTTGAGTGTTGAGGTATGTTCCATTTAATATAAAACACATGGAAATTTTCTTTACTATAAACACTATTAAAACCAATTTGCTAAAGTACATGACATGAAAACTACATGAGTACAAAAAATGAGCTACCTCTCTAATTGAAAACCAACTAATAAAATCATTCATTTCTTTCTAGCAGTTTTTTGCAATTTTTGGTCCACATTTTTGTATTTTTTGTTTGATGTACTTTCTCCCACATATTGTAGTATCCCCACATTTTTATATTTTAGCAAAAAATGTTTAAGAACAAAATATATTTTAGGTATATTTTAATACGTAGTATAAGATAGCTACCAACCGCTTTGTTAAGAGAACCTTAACTCTCTGTTTGCTTTGAGTTCTTAAAGAAATGTCCAGTAAACATCTCACATAAGATGTTTATCATGTTGGAGTGTCATACGTTAAATTGATATAGCTCATATTTGTATATCCCCCATGAACTTTATCACATTTTAATTTAATATACTTTAGATTAGATGCAAATGTTCGAGGTACTTCTCGCATCCTCCAAGTGTCACTGCTAATTTTTATTCATTTTATTGTTAATTTTTCTGTGTTTTCTTCTCAGAAGTTTCTAAGTTTAATGAAATTAAACAATACTTATAATATTTTAAAAAAACGTTATAAGTATAGTATTTAGACTAAAAGTGTTCAATCATTTGACCTTTATATTGACAATTTTATCTTTCAAATTCTTGATTAGTGTTACTTTTTTCTCAAATGCTAAATTAATAACCTTTTACTAAAATGATAGAAAAATCTCTTTGTAAATTAGTATATATAGAGTCCGTATGGTTCGTATTTATTTATATAGAAACAAAAATGTACACAAGAAAAAAAACGGGTTGAAACGGATTTGATACGAATTGAATGACATTTTGTATCAAATAGCTCGTGCCATTTGGCTCGGATTTGACATATCTTAGATAAATATTCTAACGTATCACAATCAAAAATCTCTATTAATCTCATATTTTTTTGTTGTGAATGTATAATTAGGGAGTAATTACAATGGTAATGAGATATTAATTGTTGGTGTGATTTGAATAGGCGGTCCCTTTGTTCATATCAGAGATTGCCCCCACAAGAATACGCGGAGGCCTCAATATTCTCTTCCAACTCAACGTCACCATTGGCATTTTGTTTGCTAATCTCGTCAACTATGGAACCGCAAAGTAAGCACTATTCCTACGTCCTTTTATTATAAAATATTAATAAAAAATTCATTAAAATGTATATTACGCCATCATTATTCTCCTTTGTGACTCAATAATAAGGAGTAATGTGGCATTATAAAATCGATAAATGTCAATTAATTGATTGAACTATTTCACCAAGATAAGTGTTGGATGTTTGATTGATGGTCGGGAACCCAAATTATATTTCCTCGTAATAATTCGAAGAATTAATTGCACATTTGAACTTATATTTGTCTCAAATCAGGCCTAATCAAACCGAGCGCTTCACCCAAATCTAGATCAACATTAATTAAACAGACCAAAGCTAGCTAGCTAGCTACCTTCACTTCAAATCAAAGTGGAAATTTTCAATCCATATCAGGACATATAGATCCTATATAAAATTAGAGATTAGATGCATAGAGCTAGTATATTTCAACTAATCTGTAGTTCTAAATAGTAACAAGAATCCTTTGTAGTAAAGAGGATTGTCTAGTATTTGTTTTTGCCCGAATTGCCTATTTAGATCCCGTTATTTTTATGGGACTGCATTCAGTCTTGTATGGGTAAAAATGAAATTTGAACTTTTTTGTACCGGTTCGATGTGTGAATTGGATCTTTTTTAGTTCAGAGACTAAATTGAACTTACACGATCAGTACAAACCTATTTGACCTTTTACTTTAAAATAAATTAGGGAAAATGGTCAAATAGGTCCTCGTACTTACATAAAAAGGTCAAATAAGTCCTTATATAGGAGACTCTGTCCGGCCTCGCCATTTGGGGCAATTCCCGGAGGAATCTTTTGATGAAATTTTTTGAGCATCTTATTCATTAAGTCTAGTTTACTCATAAAAAAATTTCAGCTAACAATTCAATCGGGAAGACACTCAAATGAATTCTTGAAGATAACTGCGTTTTTAACTGCACAGTTATCTTCAAGAATTCATTTGAATGCCTTACAGGTTGAAGTTTTAGCTGAAATTTGTTATGAGTAAACTAAACTTAATGAATAAGATGCTCAAAAAAATTCATCAAAATATTCCACAGAAACCGCCCCAAATGACGACGGCTGGACAGAGCCTCCTATATAAGGGCTTATTTGGCTTTTTAATGTAAGTTCGGAGACTTATCTAACCCTTTTCCCAATAAGTTATGCGGAGTATATTTATATTTGTGCATTTGATCTATGTTTTACTTCTACTTTAAACAATTTTTTAGTCGATATAATAATAACTAGTGGTGTTGGGATTGGGGATGCAGAATAAAGGGAGGGTGGGGATGGAGGCTATCACTGGGACTAGCAGGATTTCCAGCGCTGCTGCTGACGTTGGGCGCCCTCTTCGTGGTGGACACTCCCAACAGTCTGATCGAGCGCGGCCACGTGGAGGAGGGGAAGAGGGTCCTCTCCAGAATCCGAGGCACCCCCAACGTGGAACCCGAGTTCCTGGAGATTCTCCACGCCAGCCGCGTCGCCAAGGAGGTCAAGCACCCTTTCCGGAATCTCCTCCGCCCTAGAAACCGCCCTCAGTTGATCATTGCCATTTCCTTACAGGTCACTTTTTCCTCCTATCATCATCTCTTGATATGTATGGGCCCAGAGTGTAAATGAAATAATAGTAAGGATCTGTTTGCAACAGCTTCTTCTTTAAAAAAAGTGCTTTTTTTAATGAAATGTGGAGAAGTGATTAAATAAAAATTGATAGCGTTTGAGAAAAAAATGATTTTGAAAAGTAAAAGTGGGTAGTGTTTGGTAAAATAAGTGCTTTTTGTGTTATAGAAAAAGTAAAAGCACTTTTGACGCGGAAGCCGAGAAAAATAAAAGTTGTAGTGTTTGGGAAAATAAGTGTTTTTTAAAGACAAAAGCTGAGAAATGCTTTTTTTAAAACAGTTGCAAACCAACCCTAAATCTCTAATTGAAAATAGCGATTTTCAAATACATAGTATTTGATTTTGCCAAGGAACAAGACGTTTAGTGGTTTCCCTAAATTTAAATAGTCGTGACAATGATAACTATAGCATTTCACTATTTATGCTTTATAATGTGGAAATATGTCAATCTAATTTCAAGATAACAATAATCTAACTACTTTTAAGTTTTCCTAATTTCATTATTTTTGTCATTTCATATGGGATTGGGTGCAAAAATAAAGATTTTTAAAAATGAGGGGCAAAGTCCAATTTGGATAATAAAATAGGATGCAAACTCAAATTACCCCTACTTTTATCTAGGTGGGAAAACATGTTAACATTTCAGTACTTTTTCATTTTAGGTATAATAAATCGAAATCCATAAAGTATATAAAGTATTTAGATAAGGATGATGTAAGGTCACAATCTGGCCATTCTTTATTAATCAATGAAAATTAAAAATGATGGGAGTACTCTATTGACCAAGATTACAAATGAGATGTTTATTTGTTGGGAAAGCTATAAAATACTTTGAGTTTCTCTTATCATTAGGTTAACCTTTTAGGATGTAATCTCATGTTTTAACGTGATATCAGAATCAAATCCGGTTGTCATTATGCTTCATCCATTTTGATTTGACACAATTATTTATGAAGTGATGAAAACGTAAAATTATAATTAAAATTCGAGTATAATAAAGTGAAAATTTGCGAACCACACATTTCTTTTCAAAATAAAAGAAATGTTAAACTTATTTGGGAATATCTAAAAATGAAACTGAGACCATAAAATGAGACGTGAAGTAATATTTATTCTCAAAATAAATCTTCTTTAGTTTAACAGTAGAATTAAAATGTTAAAACTTAAAATTTCTTTTTTAAGAATAATAAGTAGCTTAGGTCATATTTTTAGAAATATGCTGTCTTTGATTCTGTCGTAATCAATGTGTGTACACATTTAACAACTTTTCTTTTTTTGTTTCCCACCAGATATTTCAACAATTTACCGGGATCAACGCGATCATGTTCTACGCGCCGGTGCTATTCGCGACGGTGGGATTCGGGAGCGACGCGGCGCTCTACTCCGCGGTCATCACCGGGGCCGTGAACGTGCTGTCCACAGTGGTATCAATCTACTCCGTCGACAAGCTGGGGCGGCGGCCGCTGCTGCTGGAGGCGGGGATCCAGATGCTGCTGGCCAACATCGCCATCGCCGTCGTGCTGGGGATCAAAGTGACGGACCACTCGAACGATCTGGGGCACGGGTGGGGGATCTTCGTGGTGGTGATGATCTGCGCGTTCGTGTCGGCGTTCGCGTGGTCGTGGGGCCCGCTGGGGTGGCTGATCCCGAGCGAGACGTTCCCGCTGGAGACGCGGTCGGCGGGGCAGAGCGTGACGGTGTGCGTGAATCTGGTCTTCACTTTCATCATGGCGCAGGCGTTCCTGTCGATGCTCTGCCACTTCAAGTTCGGGATCTTCCTGTTCTTCTCGGGGTGGATTACGGTCATGTCTCTGTTCGTCCTGTTCCTGCTGCCGGAGACGAAGAACGTTCCGATTGAGGAGATGACGGAGAAGGTCTGGAAGCGGCACTGGCTCTGGAAGGGATTCATGGATGATGATGACGATAATGTGGATCGGGAGATTGGGATTACGAATCTCCCGATTAAGAATTGAAATTTGAAGGCTGCCGTAGATTGCTAATCTAAAGAAAAATGTAGGGGCCAAAAAATTAAAGACAATTGGATTTTGGACTGAGGTGCAAATCACATATTTTGTCAAACTTTGCAGCTCATGTCTATCTTAAATTTTTACTTTATTTCAGTACCCTTTTTTGTGTGCGGCTTTGAAACAAAACGAATACAAGATCCCAAGGCTATATGAGGCGTAAAAGTCATTTTAATTTCCTGAAAAACATATAGAGTATGACGGATTCTTAAATAAATGTAATGATCAACATTTCACAATGAGACAAATTTAAAAAAAAAAATGTTCAGAAATATACTTCCCTCCGTTCCATAGAGAGGTTCCTGATTTGATTTACGATCCTTTACTGACGATAAAGCAACTTGATTCATGTTCAAACTCTGATTATTTTTAGTAAATAAAATTTACATATTTAGAAATTACATTTAAACCGCTATAAAACTTGATAAAGAAAATGTAAATTTGATAAATATTTTATATATAAAGCAAAAGATTAAGAATGATTTAAGTTGATCATGTGAGTAGTAGTTTGGAACCTTTGAATGGCACGGAGGTAGTATGTTAATACATTAATAAATAAACTGCAGTCAAAATAGAGACTCTAAGGATATTTTCTTTTGGAGTGAAATTTGCTGGTCTGGTCTGATCTGATCAAGTCTGGTCTGGTAAATGTCTGGTCTTTGTGTATTTTATAACTATAGAAGTCTGGTCTGATCTGGTCTGGTCTGATCTAGTTTGGTCTGGTCTGATCTGGGACTGAAAAAAGTCCAAAGGAAAACATCCTAAATAATGTAAATTCGCATTCATTTAAAAACGAAAGTAGTACAATACTACATATGAAGTACATATAAAAGTTTACCATGGACGAAGAAAGTATAAATTTTTATTTATACATTAATATTTTATTTATAGGAATTATAGCAAATAAGACAAACTGTGGCTACTAAAAACTTTAGTGTTATTAATTACGGAGTATTATTTTTTGGACTGTTTTCAGTCCCAGACCAGATCAGACCAGATCAAACTTAACCAGACTAGATCAAACCAGACTTAAACAGACCAGACCTGACCAGACTTCCGTAGTTATAAAATACACATAGACCAGACGCTTACCAGACCAATTCAGACCAGACCAGACTTAAACAGACCAGACCAGACCAGCAAATTTATGTCCAAAAGAAAACATCCTACATACTACTCCGGGGTATCTTGTGGGCGTTGACTAGTTTGGAACCTCATAGTATCGAAGATTTGTACCAAATCGTATCCAAAATTGAAATAGAACGACATATGTATCGTATACAAGGCTCGATGCTTTATTTAGGACAGCATCGAGTACAGCCTTATCCAAAATTTCTGTCAAGTTTGGCAGTATAAGGCTTTAAACATGGCACATTTTCCAAATTTGACGGATTATTCCTATCCAGAGAATAAAAAACTTATACTTCTATTTTAGAATTTCAAAATGTTTTTACTCATGATGTTTTCTTTTGGACTGTTTTCAGTCTCAGACCAGACTTCCGTAGTTATAAAATACACAAACATCAGACGTTTACGAAACATTCTCATACTGTGTTTTTTAAAACAACCGCCCGTACCATCTCATATATGCTCACCCTTTTGAACACCAACGCATTTACCAAAGGTTGGTCCACTGCTTACTTGCTTGTTTATTTTTGAAAAAATTGACAAGAATAATCCCACCTTTCACTGATATTCTCATAATAATCCCACCTTTAAATAATCCCAAAATAATCTCACTTTTGCACCTCATCTTCTTTCATTGGACCCTGACCAAGTTTTTTACCTTTTTTAAAAATCTTACTCGTATATAAATAATCTCACATTTATAAAGATATAATTAAAAAGTGAAAGGTGAGATTATTTGTATAATTTTCAAAGAAAGAATAAAAAATATGGTCAGGGTCCAATGAAAGAAGGTGAGGCGCAAAGGTGAGATTATTTTGGGATTATTTAAAGGTGGGATTATTATGGGAAGACCAGTGAAAGGTGAGATTATTCTTGTCAATTTTTCCTTTATTTTTAAGGAAAGAGGCTTTTTTACTACGGAGTAATAGAATACTTTCTTCTTAGAGATTCTCCAATGCTACAATGTGCACGGTGCACATGTGGCTTGAGAGAGATAGACAAAAAAAATGAATGTATGGCATTTCTCTTTCATTTTTTTCACAGTTTTATGTGTTTTTGATAAGTTTTCCTGTGCGATGTCAAGCAGAATGTCTACATCTAGACATTGTGCTTGATATTGTGAAGAAAAACTTACCAAAATGATACAAGATCCTTCAAATAAGGAGGGGGATATTCTATTTATTATTTTTTAACTGGCTCTCTAATGCCACATATGCACCCCGTTCACGTTTTAGCATTGGAGATGCTCTTAGTCATTGTTGTGTGAACTAATTGGTTATAAACAGCTGAGCAATTAATCCAATCATATGTTAGTAACAATTATACTTAAAAATTACTTGGTAAAATTAATTTTTTGTAGTTTGAATAAAGATTTTTATTAAATAGAGGATATGCAATTCATAATATATACTGAATTGTACTCCGTAATAGAAAGAAGTAGTTAAGAATGTTTTTACTTGGATTGTAATTTGTCCCAGACCAGACCAGATCAGTCCAGACCAGTTCAGACCAGACCAGACCAGACTTGGATAGTTGTAAAAATACAAAGAAACCAGACCTTACCATACCAGACCAGACCAGATCAGACCAGACCAGCAAATTATAAAAACATCCTAACTCGGATGTATTCTACCTAAACGTTTTGAAAAAAATTGTGATGATAAATAATTATGTAAGTGAAAGGCAAGAATATCAACAAAGACGAACAAAGCCTACGCAAATTTGAATATATCAAAATATACTTAAATTATTTAAATATGGAGTATAAATATTAGGAATCCACTGGGAACCATTTCTTTCCTATGCTTTTGCGATTATTGTAACACTGCACAACGAGGAGTATTTGTTTCATATGTTCTGAATTTTTTATTACGATAAATAGTTTTTCTAATATTATCGATCAATTTAATACTCATGAGATGAATTATTAAATGTAAAACTTTAGAAAATCAACAACGTAATAAGTAACAAGGCATTGACGAGTTGCGTGTTAGTAGTTGTGATTGAGTATCTAGTATCTACGGATTACCCATGGGTTCGCACTTTTTTGGATTATTACCTTAATGAGGGGTTCAACTCCTCTCCATTTCTTTCTCTCCATTTCTCCTCCATTTCTTTTTTACTTTCTATCTATCTCTATCTTTTTCTCTATCCTACTCACCAACCTACCCCACCCTTAATTCTCTCCTCTCTATATCTCTCATACTGGAACTCTCCAGTTACTGGAGAGGATCCAAATTCCTTAATGAGACACAGCTCCCAAACTGTGTGTGATCTAAATACATCATTATTCCAAACGCTGGAATCGTCCATTCTAGGCGCGCCCACACACGGATCCCATAGAATGATGGAGGAGTAAGTTATGTGACTCAGTCGGTCCACTAGTGGTAGACCTTATATACATGCGCAGCAGAGGTCCAGTCTTGCACGCATAAACTGTAACCTTCCTCCACACCATCATTGTAGATTTCAAACTTTGATCAGTTCCAAATTTCTCATTTTTCAATCAACTGAGCTACCCATGCGAATATGTATGATCTAAATACATCACAATGTATGAACGAGACATAAAATCCCAAGATTTGGTTGTCTGTCGGGCTTTGCTTTAGGCATTATTTGAACTTGGACTTTGATGTAGATTTGGACTTGTGTTTGGATGACATAAACTTGATAATCCGAGTCATTTAATTTACAGTATGGGACTTATAAAGAAAATAATTTTCACAAACCTAGTAAACTTTTTCAACCACAAAAGCCCAAGTAAAATATATGTTTGGCCCATTCAAAAGAGGATCATATATGCACGAATTACACATATTTTCACAAACTTTTTTTTTACACATATTTCAAGTGAATGAACATAATTCTTTGGACTTGTAACTTTCCCTAAAAAGCCATCACTCTCTCCCATAGGGATTTGACTTTTCTCTTACACTCTATCATGTGGATTCATGCCTATAAATAGCCTGCACTTCAATGCCAAATCCATCCATTTCCATCAATGCAAATATCAACCTCTCCCATTTAGAGCATAATATGATTATCCTCCGTCTTCTTATCATTGTTCTATTTTTTCTTTTGGAAAAGGTCAAATAGGCACTTGAATCGATTTAAAATATTCAATTAGCTCCTTATATAGGAGGTTCTGTTCGGTCATCGTCAATGTAGAGTTATTTGCATCAAAGCAGTATCAAACAATGCAAAACAATGTCAAACAGTGTTGAAACAGTATCGAAACAGTAAAATTTACCCTCTGATAAGTTTATTTCCTTAATATATGTGTAGGTCAAATCGATAACTTCTTAGCGGGATGGAGGGAGTATTCAAGACGAACTTTATGTCACTAAATAAAACTGAAATATTATAAGCAGGATTATATAATGATATTTTTCTAAATGAAATAGTTAACGTGACCACTTTTTCTTCAAAAAAGGACTTAGTTTTATATTCCCTCTGTCCCTTATAACTTTGCCAACTTTCCTTTTTTGGATGTCCCATTAACTTTGTCACTTTCCCTTTTAAGTAAATAATTTATGGTTTCAGTTAATTCTCTCTCATCTGCACAAACATCAACGACACAGTTTTTACTTTATTAATTCCCGCACCGGTCAAACTTGACATAGTTATTAGGGATGGAGGAGTACCAATGAACAAAAATTGGAAGATAAGAAAATCTTACGAAGTGTTTTTTAACCGATCGAATATGATATTCCATATACTCGTATGACTAAAAAAGTATAGGTACTTGACTGACTACTTGATAGATTAAAAAAGTACCCCTACTTGGTACAGTGAAGACAAAATGTGAAATATTATTATATTAAATTATTATTATATTCATTAAAATAAAATATGCCCAACACGGGATCTTTGCAAGCTGCGCTGGTGACCGACACGTGTCAGCAACAAAGTTTGCCAGTCTGATGGCAGGTTTATGTGCCAAGCTGGCAATTGAATTATGGACCGTTGGATTGACTAGAAATGGAACGGTTTGGATTGAAATGATTGTCAAAATCGGTTGTTCTCAGCTTCCGTCCCCAAGTCTCCAACCAAAAACGAGTGAAATCAAACGGCCCCGGGCCCACCACAATTCGAGATTTGATGAGCAGGTGAATGAATGATGGAGAGAGGAAGAGATAAAGTG